GCAAGCAAGTCATAAATGATAATGAAGCATATATCAATCCCTTTAACTCTGATTTTTACTTTGGCTATTTTACAATCCTGATGATCGTTGACCCTGTCGACCTCTGCAGGTGAGGTCGACGAGCATTTCGACTCCTAGAAATGTGATAGCCAACCCTTCAATCCGCTACATCGATCCAACGGGCCAATCTAGCAAGTTTGTTTGACATGTGAAATGGATGGATCCAATGAGATATGGAATGGGCCTGATGGCAAGCCTCAAAACATATGAATCCTCAGAAATTCAGTAGCTAGGAGTCGGTCCAAGCCATTTATTTAATTATGGGCCCACGGTAGCCTATTATTTGTATGCAATTTTTTTTTTTTTTTTTTGCTCGCTAGTTCTGCAAAGCTGTAATGTTATAATTGTTGGGGAAAATGAAATTCTTCATGTACTTTTACTAGACTTCAATTCGATTAGAAATCAAAATCACACTGCATAAATAGTATCGCTCTTATTCAAGAAAATCAGAACAAAATATTTGAATGGAAGCACAACAATGATAATCCCGAAAAAACAAACTAGGATTTAACAAGAGAAACTAAAAAATGGAAAAAAATCATGGAGCCACACTCCCAAGAAATTTCCACTGAGGAACAAGAAAATATACAAAATACACATTTAGATCTCCTCTCTATAATGAATGCAACTTACATGACTCTAGTCCAAAACCTTCCTACTGATCTCAAAAGAGAAATTCATCTTGAAATCTTCATCCCCGACCTTTTTCTTTTCATGCTGTCGAAAGATCCGCACGCTAGAGAGTCTACATTCGTCACTTGAAATCTCGACTTTAAACTGAAACAGAAGAGAAACTGCATCTGGCGTACTCGTGGCACTCCTTGGCACGGGAATATCGCATTCTCTATAACTAGGCACATAGGTGCTCCGAATATGGCATGGGGGCGCTACAGACTTCAGCGCAGGGATGCCGGCGCACCGCACCCACTGCAGTCGCGGTTGCGCCTTTCAAGCATGCGTTCACCACGCCTGAATTACTCTGTACTATTGTGTCCTGCTGGCCCTGCTTTCCCTGCTATCTGTGCTCATCCAGACTCCACAACACAATCCTAATGATAATTTACAAGCTTCAGATCTGAGTATAAATGCTCTAGTTTCAGCACTGATCCAATATAGATTATGTGATATCTTGTTAAACAAGCCAGCAATGAATAAGGTCTAATTTTTTTATTGTTTGGTCTGAAACATAGGCATTTATATAGGGGCTTTGAAATATGTTAGAATCTTATTTTTGCAAGCTGTAGCATTCCTTAATTAACGACACATTTTAAGCGTTATCGTCAGCAATTCTTTATCAACACACGTAAAGTTGGATTAAAACAATGGGAATGCTACGTATAGCAAAATTGTGAAATCAAAATTTGATTTTTCCCAATGAAAGCCATATAAACATGAACAAATGTAAAAACACATTATTTTCATTCATATCAGAAACAAGACACCGAACCAGTAATACAAAGTTCCAAATCATTCTTCCAGACATCACAAACCAATCCTTAGCCGATAAACCTCACCCAAACCCTCCCACTGCGAACCTTCTCCCAAAAAGAACACAAGTAATAAACAACTCTAACAGCACACTTTCCTCCTCTTCCTCCGACCACCCTCCCCCTCTTCTTCTCCACCACCGCTCCATGGTTCCCTGCCAAAACCATATACTTATCCTTCCTCGTCAAACTCGTACACTCATACGATAATCCCCCTGCAATCATTCTCTGCACATAATTAGCCACTTCATAACTACTCCTCCCTCCTTCTCCACATGTATGCTCTTTCCCCAACTTGCTCAAAAAACTCACTTCATAAACTGGTCTTGGATTCATGAAAAAGTAAAAGGAATCCAATCCTTTCCACCCTCTCGCCGTCGTTCCGTAGAACATGCTCATCCTAACCTTCACGGCTACCGGCACGATTTCGTCGGTCAATTCAGCAAACAGAGCAGAGAATCTCAGCAAAAAAGGCTCACGACAAGTGGTTCCTTCAGGGCATATGGCAAGGTCGCCTCGGGTTAGGAGTCTTTTGATGGCAGCGGCGTCGGTGGCGCGGTCACGGGTGAGACGAACGGTTTTAATTGGGGAGATGAGTTCGGAGAGGCGGGAGAGGGAGTAGGTGAGGGCGGGGATGGGGCGGCAGAGGAAGAAGGAGAGGAAGACTGGGTCTAGGAGAGTGCGGTGGCAGAGGACAAAGAGTATGACGTTGGAGGAGGTGGAGTTGTGCCTTGGATGATTATGCCTACACCGAGGGAACGAAGGGCGAGGAGGGAGAGGTGGATGGGGAGGAGACCGCCGACGGCGATGCAGAAAATGGAGAGGAAGAAGGCGAAGGGGAGGTAGAGGACGGTGAGGAGGGATAGGAGCGGGGGTGGTTTTTGGACAACGCGGCCGTCATGGAAGATGATGGGTTTGGCGAGGTGAGCTGACCACACTGCAGGGAGTTCTGGGTTGGGTGGCACCATGTTGGATTCCTGTTTCGTTAAATAATGACCATTAGTAAATTCATAAGCATATAATTAAGATTTTAGCAGAGAGTTGGTATTGGTTAAAAAATGGTTTTAATTGTGTTCAACTTTTTTTTTTTTAAGGAATTTTATAATATTTTTAAGAGATAAATGAAGACATTTGGGAAAAGTGCAACTATTTGTTATTTGAACTATTATTGTAATGCTAACCTTGCAGAGATTCATGAAAGCGCCATCCGAATTCCGATGACTGATCCCAATTGTCTGCGGCAACAATTCACCACCAAACACCCTTTTCAACGCTTCAGCCTTCCTCTCTCCGACGAGCACTCCACTGTCACGCACCAACCCTGTAACCCTTCCTCTATAGACCCCAAGCTCCGTCCCCACCACCTCGTCAACCCCCAAATACTCTTTCAAAAACGGCCCCACCATCACCGCTGGACTCTCCGTCACCACGCACCGCCGACCGCACGCTGACAACACCCGCCATGTCTCCGGATGCAAATCCTCCACATAGAACTTGGGCAGAACGGCACGTGCTACAGACTCGATGGTTGATAATTTTGCTCCGGCGAGCGAAGCAAAGATGAGAACTTTGATGCCGGCGGATTCGGAGACGAAGTGGTGGAGGAAAAGGGAGGGAGGGTAGAGGAGGAGGAGGAAAAGAAGACGAAGAGGGCCGCCGGCCTCAAATGCGGCGAGGGCGAAGTAAGGGAAGGAGGAGGCTGAGCGGAGGAGAGTTCCGTTGAGGTCGGAGATGACGGTGTGAGTACTGCGGTTGTGGTAGGAGCAGGCTTGGATGGAAGGGGAGGAGGAAGACATGGTTTTGGCCATGCAATCTTTCTCTTCTCTCTCCCTCTCCCTGTCTTGAGGATGG